AAGGTCTACAGGCATTTGAATCATATAGGCCTTATTCCGTGTAGGTGATTTAATAAAGCCAAAATCAGTGGTTTCGTAATTTGCTTATTTTGAATAGATTTAGTTAAAAATTGTGTTATTTTTTGTAATATTGCTAAAATTAAAGGATGAAAGAAGTTAATTAACCTTGTTTTTGTTGACTGGCGTTAATATTTATTGAAATATAAGCATTTAAAGTTAGGTAGGCCTTATTTGTATCAAGTACCTTAGTTTCACAGTCTAATACCGCGCCCATAATGCAACAGATTCCGTTCAATTTCGCCATGTTATTATGGTGGTGCAGTGCCATATGCCGTCTCTATTACTCACCGTTACTCGATGTAACATTTCAGCTAGCTCGACATGTTTGACTAGGGGTGTGCCAAAATATAGTCGCTAATTGTACAGGGTATCCCAGAATGGGTGAATCAAACTGATAGGATAGGTAGCTCTACTAATGTACTATCCCTAAAAAATATGTATAGATCATTTCATCCACGGAGACGCGCCCCACCATTCTTCCGCTAATGTTTGAGTGTTATCGGTACACGCTAAATCATCCATGAGTGCACACGCACACTACAACAATGACGCTCGGATTGCTCGGATCAAACTCCTCGCACCCCGCGCTTCCTTCGACCAAAAATTGGTGGGGCGCGTCTTCGTGGATGACACGATGTATAAGTTGAAAGACCTTGGCTATAGTGATAAAAAAAATGAATTTTCAATTGGTTCAGGGTTCGATAAGGTGCATTTTCAAGATTTGTGGATATAATATTGACAACTTATAACCGGATTGTTTGAAAGTAGTGTTGAGTCCGACAGGTATAGCTTCAACACAAAATAATAAATAAATTTAAGTACATAATTGTCGCATTTTTGACTCGCTCTTTCTATAAATTGTATTTCTTGCTTTGTTTAGGAAAAGCTATGTTCCTAAATAAAGCAAGAAATACAATGGTCTTAAATTAATACGACTTATTATAAAGTATATGTTGTTAAGAATATGAAATGGGATGCACAGCAACCCATCATGGTTGCAAAACTTTAAAAAAGTTGCTACTGACAGCCCTGGCTCAAACGGGATCGAACCGAACACTCGGCGTTTTAAACAACGGTTGAGATGCACCGCAAGTGGCGATACTCGATCTACATTCATAGACATAGATCATAGACTATTACCATAGCTGAGTATTCTGTTACATGTTACATACCATAGCTGTCACTACTTCCAGTCCACTGCTGTACAAAGATTTTTTCCACGGAATAAATTAGCGGACACCCGAGGCAATTGACATATTTTTCATTGAATCTTTATTTTGATTAAAAAAGAGGGACTAAACTGTTAATTTTTTGCAAAGCCACTAAAAATCGAATTACCTCATGAGACCGCGGTAACAATTTATTCTATTGTATCTCGATTCACTGGTATCTACTTGAAGGGCTAGAATATTTAAAACTAACTCGATTTTCAGGACTAGAAAATGGTGGATAGATCTTAACAAACACCAATGATCTTCATTTTGTGTTCCAACCCTTTACTAACTTTGCGCTATATCTTCGTTATTTGTGCATCAGTTTAAAAAAATGTGTAGAGTCAACAGGACATCAGAGTCTAGATTTCTGTTGCAAAATAGCTCTTACAACTACATAAAATATGGTTGTTAATCCAACACCAGCAAGCAGTATTTGTACAGGTAGTGCCAGCTCTGTAGCAAATCCAATTACAGATGATAGGTTGAGCCTTAGGGCCTCCGCACACTAAGCCCCTTTTAGTCGCCAGGTCGCCAAATGCTCAGCCATTAAAGAAATCAAAATATGTGCTCATTATCCACTGCGGTATCAGTACTCAACGTTCGAATAATCTTTAGTACTACGCAAGCAATGTAAACTGTTACACATTATGACGTCGCTGCTGTCATCATTGGTTTTGGGCATATTGCTGCGACACCGGCCCCGCCCCCTTCTCACATCTCCTTTTAGTTTCTGTGATCTGTGGGAGAGATTTTTGAGACGTTCTTCGGTTGACAACTAATCAGCATAGCTTTCCCCTAAGCTATGTTGAATAGTATAATATAGTACATATAATATGAATAGAATAGTATGCGGAATAGAGACCGAGGAGAGTTGTAACAGGGTGAGTTGTCTTGTCACAAAGCCGATTTCTCTGCGCCTATGATAGTTAGCAAGCTGAAGTTTTAACGCAAACTGTGGAGCCTCGAATGAGCAACGAATTCGCGAAGTTGCTTGCTCTATAAACTTAGGTTCAGTGAAACTGACTTTTTTACAACCCACTTCTATTGCAACCCACCTCTGTTACAACCCACCTCTGTAACAACCCACCTCTATTGCAACCCACCTCTGTTACAACCCACCTCTGTTACAACCCACCTCTATTGCAACCCACCTCTGTTACAACCCACCTCTGTTACAACCCACCTCTATTGCAACCCACCTCTGTTACAACCCACCTCTGTTACAACCCACCTCTATTGCAACCCACCTCTGTTACAACCCACCTCTGTTACAACCCACCTCTATTGCAACCCACCTCTGTTACAACCCACCTCTGTTACAACCCACCTCTATTGCAACCCACCTCTGTTACAACCCACCTCTGTTACAACCCACCTCTATTGCAACCCACCTCTGTTACAACCCACCTCTGTTACAACCCACCTCTATTGCAACCCACCTCTGTTACAACCCACCTCTGTTACAACCCACCTCTATTGCAACCCACCTCTGTTACAACCCACCTCTGTTACAACCCACCTCTATTGCAACCCACCTCTGTTACAACCCACCTCTGTTACAACCCACCTCTATTGCAACCCACCTCTGTTACAACCCACCTCTGTTACAACCCACCTCTGTTAAACCTACCTCTGTTACAACCCACCCCTGTTACAACTCACCTCTGTCTCCCCTACAACGTTGTCCCAACACCAACATCGGCTCGACCAAAAGAATGGTCACTGTAGCGGACGTGCGGAAGTTGTTGAAATGGATTTCTGTTTGAGTATTCGTGGGTATTTGTAAATGAATACGGATGATTACGGTCAGCTCTGTGTTTACATGCGGGATCGTGAATCTCAATACTGTCCCCTGATTTGTAATCACTATAGTTGATTATGCAACTTTGTTTGTAATAATCTCGATAGATTTATAACAAACAAATCAGTAAGGTTCTAGTAGGTACTTAACTATTTTGGTAGTATTAGCTGTTGTATTCTGAGGGAAAAATGGATGAAAGAGGATATTTATTTTATTTTAGGTACGTGTAAGCGAGTATTCGAGACGTGCGTGTGAAAATAGCGTAACTACCGTATTATACCATACCACATAACTTTGACCGTAACTATAACGATAACCGGTGTTTTTTGTATGGAGTTTGACAGATTTTTGACGTTTGTCAAAGATAAAATAAGATGGTGCAACCCAGCCTTAGGATGTCAAATTAACTACGAATATCATAATATCGCCCCTCTCCTAAGACTTGTTCTCTAGAAGTTTTTCTTATGTTATTGGCGTAGGTATAATGTTACACAATTACTGTATCTTAATATTACAGAACAACAATAAAAAAAATCAAAACCGCTACACCACAGTAAAACAGTCGAAATATTGATACTTGACTGATATAATCATTTGTAATCGTGAAGAAAAAATGCCGATTTCAAAGGGAAGGCAAATTAATTTGATTATTGCCCGGACTGTATATACAGTAAACATTTCATCCAACTCTTTTGTAAATATCGATATGAATGCCTACTTAATAGGCACGTGTAGGCCGAAAACGTTTCGGCTTCAACTAATATTTTTTTATTTTAAAATATTTGCTGTGCGAATATGCTTTGATTTCCTAATTTAATTATGATTGCATGCAAGTACAGTCAACACTACAAAAGCACATCGATCTACTGGTAAAAAGATTTTGATCTCTGGTTCTTAAAAAAATTACCCCCTTATTAATAAAAGTTACACCCCAGTTAAACTCTGGCTTAAATTATCATTTAGTATGAAAATGATAAGGATATGAATAACTAGCGGCCGCCCGCGACTTCGTACACGTGGATCCCGTTTTACCCCGTTTTTCCCGGTTTAGATTTTTTCATACTAATGTTTTCTCGCTAACTCCCGTTCCATAAGGAACATACAGACAGACGGACAGACAAACAGACAAAAATTTTACTGCTTGCATTTTTGGCATCAGTATCGATCACTAATCACCCCCTGATAGTTATTTTGAAAATATATTTCTTGTACAGAATTGACCTCTCCACAGATTTATTATAAGTATAGTTAAGGAGGTATACATCTTGGCCTGTTGTAATACATGTTATTTTGCAATTTAAGTGCATTCTCAGATGTGCTGGTGATGACTAGTGATGTGATCGATTTCGAATCGAAACCGAAATCAATGTCAATACTTAGGCACAGGGTTGTAAAAACTAATGTTTTTGAGCCAGCTATGTGTGATGGATGATAGGTACAACTTTATTTATTATACTTTATTTTACTAAGACTAACGCTTAACTTAACTCTTGCAGAATTTGCAATGCGAAAGTGTTCCTAAAATATTTTAGTTGAAGAGATGGAGATTGTATTAGCTGTGTGCACAAATACACGTAGTCCACAGAAGCCCCATAAATTTTCATATAAAGTAGGCTACATAATAAAGTACTTATCAAACTACATACATATATCAGTTATTAATATGCCACTGCCATTGCTTAGTGTGAAACATTATTCAATTTTTTTTAGACTTATTTTGCCACATATCCAAAACAATTACAATTATATTGTAGCTACTATATTCAGCTATGTCTACACATAAACGAGCCAATATTTTTTTTTATAAAAAGGCAGTTTGTAATTTTCGAAAAAAATTAAACAGACTTTTCAAAGATCTATAGCGCAGATTCTCCCGTACCCTATGCTTTGTTCCGCGGCGTTACTCACAGATGACTGTATTGCAGCAGTGACAGCAGTAGTCAGTACTGGATGGGGGCAGTCCGGGACCCCCAGGACTCATCCAACTGGAAGTGGGTGAATGGGAATGACGTCACGGTGTCGTTCTGGAACGCCCCCGGAGGCACCGAGGGCTGCGCACGATTCGACGGCAGCAAGGGCTGGCTGTGGGCCGACACCGACTGCCAAGCCAGACTGAACTATATTTGCCAGCACCGTAAGTTCACTTTTGTTTTATGCCAAGCGAATTTTTTTTGCCGAGCGAGTGCTGCTATGCGAATGATGTGTCACTTGGCTGATGCTGGAAGGTAGTTTATGAAATGCAAAGCGCTGACGTCATGTTCCGTCTATATTATTAACTGATCTGACATAATTAGACAAACATAATTTCTCCATAATTTTAAAATGCCATGAACTCTAATAAACTGCATCTTCAAATGCTACCTTCCAGTCACCAATACTCCCGTATCTTACCCCTTATTTACCCCCTGTGTTGTCCCGCAGAGCCTAAGGCATGTGGCAGGCCAGAACAGCCCCCGAATTCCACCATGACAGCGGAGAGCTTCGAGGTCGGGGCCTCCGTGGAGTACTCCTGCGACGAAGGCCACCTGTTGGTCGGACCCACCGTCAGGACCTGTCTAGACACAGGGTTCTACGATGAGTTCCCGCCTGTATGCAAACGTAAGTCTATGAGGAGGCAACTGTAGCATAGTTGTCCTGAAAATAGTAGCCAAGTAAGAATATCTATAGTATTAGTCATTGTTACGACAGTCCGCTTATATGGAGCCATTGTTGGACCGCCAGAGGTCATTCGGGGAACGAATTCACGACATCAAGTTTCTTAAACGCAAAAGGGAGGAAGAGAAAGTAGAGTGGTAAAAAGTTACTGCCTGACCCACCTACCTCCTAACTTACTAGAGTAAGTTCTATCAGTGGAAACAATATTCGAAGCTACTGGTACTCATCAATAGAGGATCTGTCCTCAGTTGTTCAGAAACCAGACACCTAAATCCTAGAAAGTTATTAACCGATGGCTAAATAAGAAAGAACAGCAACAATCTCTTTTGACTTCCATACCTACCGCCGGGGGACGGCATGTTATGTGGGGCTCGAACCCAATAAAAACCTGAAGTGTTCCCTCTGCCGCAAAGTCTTGCGCCTTGGGTAGTTGGGTATTAAAAACGACCAAGGCGCCTTCCGCGGACGTCCCACCCTACGCGGCGGGACCCATCATGCCCCCACTTAGTTGCTAAAACATCTCTCACAACCATCGCCTCTTCCAGGAATTGAATGCGGCTACCCTGCGGACATCCAGCACGGTTCGTACGAGCTGATCAACGGATCCGTCTCGTACCTCTCCCATGTGCAGTACTCGTGCGACTTGGGCTACGAGATGGTGGGACGGTCACGACTGGTTTGCGATATCGACGAGCGGTGGAACGGACCGCCGCCGAGATGTGACGGTATGAACAGGAATAATTTAGTTTTTCAGCAAAAAATTGCCATATTACTACAGATCACAAAAACTAAAGGGAGATGCGAAACGAAATAGCCGCACTGATTGATGCAGCGATAGCAATCAATGCATTTAAGTCTGGTCGCCATCGCTGCACGCCGGCTGATCGCGTGTGATCGCGTTTGTTTGGCTAAACCTTTATTCAGCCAAAAATGCAATATACCTACATACCCTGAATATTGAATCTTCCACTGTAAATATTTTTTTAGTTTTTAGCTATAACAATGCATGCATGTTCGCCCACAAGACAAGTTTTAGCAACATACATAATATTATATTAAAATCTCATAAAACTCATAACCTATTTATAGCTTCAATCTACATCTATGACGTCAATGAAAGCCTAGCAAGAAAATTAGAAATGTCTCAGGGGATAACTGCAGAATTGCAACGAATGAAAGTAATATTGACAGGATACAACAGAAAATACGAGTAACTAAACAAACATAAACAGAATCTAAGGTTGACTTGCACCACCTAACTTTAACCGTAACTGTAACGATAACCGGTGTGTTTCAAGAGTTTAACAGACTTCTAACGTTTGTTAAAGTTAAAGTAATATGGTGCAAGCCAGTCTAAGGGTGGGTTGCACTTTACTTTAACTTTGACAAACGTCAAAAAGCTGTCAAACTCCATACAAAAATCACCGGTTATCGTCATAGTTACCGTTAAAATTAGGTGGTGCAACTCAGCCTAAGAATGAGATTTGCCCCACTAATAACAGACCTAACATACATTCTTGTCACATAAAATATATGTAATTTAATATGGTAATTTAAAACATGTTATTGAAAATAATGAATAGTTTGTAATGTCTTAATGAAAAGTCTCGGAGTGTTAGCAGGTGATAATTGCCCGTTGTCATGGTGCGCTGCGCCCGCGCACCTCGCTATGATTAGCTTACTACTTGTACTCGTAAGTCACGAGAACATATTGAAGATTAAGTTAAAGACACGACACATAAAGCGTTGTAATTCTAACAGTTTTGTCAAGACAAAGAAAGAAATGTATGACCAATTTGAAAGGAAAAATCCATTTTGTCCGTGTTCATCTATCGAAGGTAAATTCTGAGTTTCTGAGCGCACAGTCCGAACATTAATTATGAGTCGACTCTGAGGTAAAATTGTGTAAAGCAATCGTAATCATTTGGCAGTTCATAACGTACGATTATTCTGTCAAACTCTTTGTTTAACTGACTTTATCGTACGTTATGAACTGTCAAATGATTACGATTGCTTTACACAATTCCATCTCTGATTTAGATTAATAGGATTTGCCCACCTAGTGTCTTCAAATCGACCTTGTGCACCAAAAAGTTGATTCAAAAATCTAGGTAGGGTAGATGTACTACATAGTTTTTTTACCGCTTTTGGCAAATCAGATCTTGCCATCCACCAAGACACGCCCCACCATTCTTCCGCTAATGTTTGAGTGTTATCGGTCCACGTTAATTTTATCCATGAGTGCACACGCACACTACAATAATGACGCTCAGTGTGCCTACCATGAGTTTACGTTAGGTGTGCTCGCTAACGACTGCGTAAAAAAATGACATTTAAATGTATGACATATTGTGCAGCGCCCCTAGTGGCTACTTTCAAGAAATAAGATCTTCATAGAATTTTTTGACGTATTCGCTAGCGAACTCACCTAACGTAAACTCATGGTAGGCACACAGATTGCTCGGATCAAACTCCCCACACCGCGCGCTGCCCTCGACCAAAAATTGGTGGGGCGCGTCTTCGTCAGCCGTCATTTAACTTCAATCAGGAAAATTTAATATTAAATTATTCGTATTGTTAGATATTACATCTCGCTTGAGTAACAAAGTAACAGTATTGAAACACCACATAAACCTCCCTTGACAACAATTCCATATACCATAGAGCGTACCTACCATAGACCCCGCAGGAAACTTTCTTAGAGGTAAGAGCGGCAGATGCTATCCGTCGCTTTTCCACTGACAATTAGCTACAATTACGTGCTATCTCTCGTGTGAACAGAAACAAACAATGACTGGTTTCCACGTGCAACAGTGGTAACTGAGCTTTCTATCGTCTACTTGGCATTTGGGTCAACTGCTGTAATAAGTACTTTATTAGCAGTGACGATGACATTGACATTTATGAACATCGCCATTTTTAGACGAGTAAGAAAGACTGGCCGAAAAAAGGTATCCCATACTGAAACTGTCAATGTGCCAGTTATACGAGGAGTTATTATTAGTCAAAAAAAAAAGTCAAAAAATCGGGCCTATCATAATTATGTTAAACTATTTGGTTTCAAATTATAACAATCCGATGTGTTCTTTAAGAAAGTTGAGATCGAGCTAGACACTTTTAATCATCGTAATCTTATTTATCAAAAATTTCACAAATCCACAAAAATAATTAGTGAACAATTTCTTTGACTATTCTAGACTCAAAAATAGTTAAGTCGGCGTAAGCTTAAGTAGCATTACATAATCATACATTTCTCTCCGTGGGAACTGCGTCCATTAAGATGTGCGCATTTATGTTTTCATTCAGAAACTTTCAGTGAGTCACAAAGAAAAGGATTTTTTAAGCATTACCAGTTTTAGTGTTATGAAGTAATCGCTTATGGAGATAATTATCGCCTTTCGTTCCCACCGCCAAGTCTTAAGTCTTTGTCGGTCAGGATTGAAGCTTAGTAAATGATACTTGAACTTAGAATTGAAGTTTGAGAAGTTAATGACGTAGTTACCAATAGAAGAGGAAGTACTAAATCGACTCTTGTTTTCAAAAGCCTATTTTATGGTAATTTGGTTTTAGGCCAGGACCAACGGTTTTCTAGTTGAGTTTTAATTTTTTTTTATGCATGACAAGGCAGGTATTTGACCGCAATCGCACTGTTAAGTGAGATGCAGTCTAGGATGGTACATATGATATTATCTGCCCTGTAAGAGCCTATTCACTCTCGCCTTGAAAAGGCCCGGATTATAGTGTTCAGAAAGACAGCAGCAGGCAGCTAAATCCAGTCCCTAGCTGTCCTCATTATAAAAGAGTTATCGAAACGCTTAGTGCGAGCTGGGGGAATGTCGACAATGTAGGGATGGTAATCGGCAATCTAGCTGATTCTGGCAACACAGAAGTTGGAGGATGATAAATTATAAATTCATTTGCACCTGTACAAAGCACGTTGATGCAACTAATTTACTATAACTAACTACGAGTAAAATACAATGCCACATTGACACATGTTTTTCTTATCGTGCTGTCTCGTATTACTCAATTTCCTTACATTACTTTTTTTGCAGTTTTACGCATGTTAATATGTTAAGTTCTTGAGTGGCGAAGACGTGGGCAGGCCTCCCACTAAGTGGACCGACGATCTGGTGAAGGTCGCGGGAGGTGCCTGGATGCGGGCGGCGCAGGACCGGTATTTGTGGAAATCCTTGGGGGAGGCCTTTTTCCAGTAGTAGACGTCTTGAAACGAACGAACGAACGCATGTTAATAAACGTCAACTTGTTGTTAACTCATCGTCTACCAACAAAGTTTTAAAATACTCATTTTCCACAGTGGTGCAATGCGAGCCGCCGCTGCAGATTGCGAACGGGCGAGTCACTATCGCGCAGAACGCGTCTACCTTCGGCGCTACGGCTGAATACTCTTGCGCGCGCGGCTACAAGCTGCTCGGCGCCAGGGTCCTGTCCTGCCTCGCGACTGGCCTGTGGGACAACCCCACCCCCCACTGTCATCGTAAGCAACAGACTTTAAATGGTACTTCTTGTCAGAAAACATACCAAGCTTATGTAGTGGTAATTGGTACTTTGCAACAGAAATGTAGAAAACTGATGTGTGGTAAAGATGCTGCCAGTACTGTTGATTTTTCTACTGGCTTGGAGGAAGACTTTGCTGTCATGGCAAGTGATAAAGGACAATGTTCGTTCTCCATACATTGTTCGCCTAAAGAACCAACAATTTTGACATATTACTACCCGAAAGCGAAATAATACGATTCTGTGTGTAAGAACAATGATTCCTGATGGACACTTGCCATAAAATTAATGATTAAGAATATTAAATCACAGCGATTTTATAATATGTCGTTTATGACAACATGGCGTCTAATGTATTGTGTGAATGTATGAACACCGATTCGCGAAAAATGTTTTGTATTGTCGTCACGCCGAGTCGCAGCCAAATAGTATAAAATAATAGAACAAGTTTTAGAAATACAACTCGGCATTCCACTTTTACAATATGCCCACATATTGCACGTAAATAAACAACATGAATCGTAGGTTGTTTCCACCCTTGTCATCTGACACATGAAATAAACTCCTATTGTATTATAGATATCGAAGCCGAATCGTATATAATAATAGAATGGGTTTTGGAGATCACTCGGGGTTCCACTTTTATAAAAAAACGTCCGGAAGTTGTAATAGTATTATAGAATAAACGTTAAAAGACTTATTTATTTAATTTTTCAATGCTTAAGTGTCCATTAGAATGAAAGGGTGCTTAATGTATTAAAAAAAATAGAAAATAATTATGATGGGTTAATGTTTTTGGGCGGTTTTTTAGGCGGTTTCTGACAATGTCCTTTATTTGTGTGGGTAGTATGGAGCACCATGCATTTGCAAAGTAATTCTCTAAATCTGTAATAGTTATAGTAAACTCTAGATAAGACTTAGAATTTCTCTATTTAACGTTTAACGTTAGGTCAGAAGTTCTAAAAGGTTTTCCTTTCCAGCTGAAGAACGTTCAACGACCACCACAACGACGACGACGACCACGCCTGCTCCCTCACCTCTGCCGACCACCACTCCCCTCTTACCCTCTCCTTCCCTCCCCACCACCCCCCGCTTGCTGCCCACGCGACCTCGTCCTGCGCCTCGGCCCTCGTCGCCAACGCCGTTCTCTCCTCCCGAGACCACCAGACGTCCGCGCCCGAAGACGACCACCGAGCGAGTGACGACGCGAGCGTACGAACGGCCGCCGGAAAGGAAGACTGTGACGGTGGGCGATGCGCAGGAGTCGCCGACCAGCCACGTGCCGCATATCATCGTGGCCAGCCACCCGAGAGAAAATCAGGTGAAGATTATTGTAACTTACTGTCATTTTTAGTGTGGTGAACACACTCTTCTTTATTCATGGCTGACCTTCTCGACAAACACGCAAACATCTGGCCTTCCTAAACTCAACTCATCTGGCCCACAGCGGTGTGGGCCTCCCCTGCTGGACTCCCCAAGTCCAAAGTATATGGCCAGGGGGAGGACTAGGTTAAATTCTCCATTATCCTCTGGTAACCCTATCTAAGTTGTACTGTTGGAATGGAGACCAAGTCGCAGGAATTACTTGGATTCGGCCGAGGCCTTTGTCCAGCAGTTGCATTTGGACGAACTAACTTACTTCAACAGAACTATCTTAAACGATCTAATGAAAAATAAGATGAAAGTAAAATTGGCAATCACTTTGTCGTAAATAGTCGACACAGTAGAACGAAAGCGAGATCTATTCACCAAATCAAATCCGACAATGCGACAAAATGGCCAACTCATCCCCCATTGGGCTTGGTTGACCTCGTGGAGAAAGTAGAACCACAAACAAGTAACACACAGAAACCCCAACATCTCCGTTATTAAACGTTAACCGCCTCTGTGGTCTAGTGGTAAGACCACCTGCTTCAGACGCAGAGGTCCCGGGTTCGATTCCCAGTGGGGGCAGATTTTTCTGTTCGGTCCGGTTGGTGGTAGGGCTTGTTCAAAGTCCGCCTGGCTAGCTTCCGGCAGTTAGAGGTAAGATAACCAGATCCTCCGTGGTTGAGGATTCCGGGTGAAGCTCGCTTCCACCTTCGACCTGATCATCACTTACCATCAGGTGAGATACAGGCCAAGAGCTTCCTCTTTGTGGATAAAAAAAAATCTCCGTTATAAAGATTTTCTTCTTATTCTGACCTTCCGTGTTATGTCACACCACAATGATATGGATGTAGACGGTCTAATTAACAGGCAAGATACGAGCATGATTGCCAAAGTGAAATTAAATAAAAGCGTGATAAAAGGCCGTTTTCAAATAAAGATCGTGTGAAATTAAACAAATAATGAGAAGATTAGTCACAGGTCATTAATTTATTGCAATTAAGTTCAGTTTTATTCACTTTTTCATCGCTTTTTGTGCGATAGCGACACGAATTATAGTATCAGAATAGAATACTACCTACTGGCTGTAGCTTACAATAGATCCCAAATCAAAAGAAAAAATAAGGACAATATATTAAGCTATGATTTTATCCTTTAGTTAGTCCTCCAGCACAGACGATTTAAAAAAAACACCTGGAAGAGAATGTCATAAGGCATTAAGTTCGCCTTTTGTACTGCATTCCTTTTTTTTGTGTGCAATATAACTTTTAATAATAATAAAACTGTTCTATTAAGAGGCACTGGGTTACGAACCTACTGAACCCTCGTCTCTACTAGGTATACCTACTTGTAATGATGTTTACTTAAATACGTGACCGTGGTATTACTTTACGGATAGTTGCGTACTTACTCGTCATAATGGATACTTTTTACTTTCCAAATATGGGAGAATAAAAGGAGTTAAACCGTTTCACTTTTGTTAACGATGTTAACACGTTGTCAGCGGCGTCTTTTTAGTAATAAGGCTGCACGATATTTTTGTGCATATTCATTCTGTTATGTTGTAACTGGCTTTCAGCGTTCTGCTTCCTTCATTATACTGGCTGTAAAGGAAAACAAAGTTTTGAAACTACATAATTAGATGCTAATCTCTAAGTCCGTTGTAGACTACCGCAATAGTTCTATCGGCATAATGGTTAATGTGCGTTCTGCAGAAATGCAGTGGGATCGTAGCACTCCCGTTCCGTTGTCTTCCGGAAGATTTCCTTCTCACATGAGACAACGACATCCCAGGCATCATCACTTCCAAGTATCTTCTTCTTCTTTTCGTGTCGACAACAAACCTACACAGTGTCAGCCCAAAACTCCGCCACAAGAGTGGCGTTGTCAGCAGCATTCACCAAATCCTCCTGAGTGCAGTTGCTCGGGCACTCAGGGCACGACATCAGGTGCTTCATCACTTCCAAGTATAGCAAACTCGGATACTGAAATCCAAAAGTAGGCTCCTAGCTAGGCATGACTGCGAGGGTATATGTACTAGCTAGGGCTGACTGCAGGGGTATACATAGAATACCCTGCCGTGTCTGGCACAATCCAAAGCAACTTCCAAGTCCAGAAATCTACGAACTTTGTAAGCTTAACCACGGAAGCGTAACAGGAAAAAAAGTTTATCCTTTATCATAAAATAACCCACATTTTTAGCAAATAACTGAATCGTTCGTTTGTTCGTTTCAGAGTACTTATTATTAGTCTGTGGTTTCAACCACCTGACGTCCACTGCTGGACAAAGGCCTCCCCCAAGTATTTCCATAACGACCGGTCGTACGCTTCCTGCAGAACCTGGTTCTTCCTGCGACCTTCATCAGATCGTCGGTCCACCTAGTAGAAGGCTTGACCACGCGATGTCTTCCGGCCCGTGGTTGCCACAAATAACTGAATAAGTTGTTTTTTCCCTAGATCCTTGGCAGCGGCAACAACATCCGAGCAGAACAGACGCCGCGTGTGAACGTGCCTTTGTCTGTGGACGGCGAGAGGCGGGAGACTCTGGGGGCGCGGCTCAACATAGGAGCCGTAGTCGCTCTGGGGGCCTTCGGGGCCTTGGTGTTCCTGGTCGCCATCATCACCACAATTGTCATCTTAGTCAGGAGGTAAAACTGTTGATTGTTGAGGTCACCTTCCTATATAGTCTAGGCTGCAACGGGCCCTGGGCAAGCCAATCGATGTTGGTCGCTCTGGAGGTTCTTGAGCCGTAGTCGCTATGGGGGCCTTCGGGGCCCTGGTCTTCTTGGTCGCCATCATCACTAATATTGTCTTTAGTCAGAAGGTAAGACTGTTGATTGCTGAGGACGCCTTCCTATTATACAGTCTAGACTGCAACGGGCCCTGGGCAAACCAATCGATGTTGGTCGCTCTGGAGGTTCTTGAGCCGTAGTCGCTATGGGGACCTTCGGGGCTCTGGTGTTCCTGGTCGCCATCATCACTAATATTGTCTTTTGTCAGGAGGTAAGACTGTTGATTGCTGGCTGAGGTCGCCTTCCTATACATTGTGGAATTTTGTAATGCCACCTGGAGGGAAAGTACCTACTCCTAATACTGTAGATAGAAAATTTTACTGAAAGGAAACATTCCTTGATTTTTGAAAAGAAAGGGAACTGCATTCAAAAATTTTCGAAATTTTTTCGAAAATTCACTACCATACCATACAATTTTCTGTACATAATTAAAATAATTTGAGATTTCATGGTTTTCCTTTCATTTGATTTATCAAGTTTGTTAGAGAGATTTCATCCTTATACTTAACCCTAACGATTGATGTAATAAAAATACAGGGTATAATTTTTAACAGATTTTAGTTGGTTCGATTCTCGGGTGTGGCAAGCAAATTTTTTTATGTCTTTGAATGCAGTTCAATTTCTTTTAAAAAATAAAGGAATGTTTTCTTTTAGAATTTTTTTCTATCTACAATACTAAGAGTACTTTCCCTCCAGGTGGCATTACAAAATTCCACCCTGTATAGTCTAGGATGCAACGGGCCCTGGGCAAGCCAACCGATGTTGGTCGCTCTGGAGGTTCTTGAGCCGTAGTCGCTATGGGGACCTTCGGGGCTCTGGTGTTCCTGGTCGCCATCATCACTAATATTGTCTTTAGTCAGGAGGTAAGACTGTTGATTGTTGAGGATATCTTCGTTTTAAGAATAGACTTTGATAAATCCTCAGCACTCCAATTGATATTGGTCACTCTAGGGGTTCTTGGAACATGAGTCGTGGTCACTGTCACTACCACCATTTTATATCCTAGTGTAGAAGGTAAGATTGTGCAGGATTTCCACTAATGTAGCAAAGGCTAGGATATGAGATACAAAATTGTCCAATATTTCGCATCTTATATCCTTGGGGCGTTGGTGTTCTCAGTCATAGCCATCATCACGGCCATGAGGTGAGATTAAGGGTTCCTTCTCATAAAGATAAACTGTAATAAACCCTCGGAATACAACTCAAGTGTTCTTGGTGTCCATTTTTTTATCAAGAAGTAAGGTTGATATTGAAGTTCAGGGTATGTAAATTTTTGAGTTAGAGGTTGACCTCTACACACACACCTCTACACAATATACTTGAGTATATTGTGTAATTCTTTCACGGGGTACTGATTCGGTTGACCTTAATCTTACGGTAAGTGGTGAGGTCTAAGACAGCACTTCATGGCCGATAAATACTTTAAAATACAACCTCCAACTCAAAATTGTCCGTACACTTTATGCATCTTATTTCATCCATTGTAGACTCATTACCCTAATTCATTTACCAAGGTTCTTATGGTATGAAAGTACCTTAAAATATAAATGCTTCTTCTGACGCTTTCATAAACAAATCCAACTTCATTTATTAACTGTTTCTAAAATTACTCTCCATTGTTATGTTAATGTATTGTGTAAGCCTATAATACTTCACATAGATATCTTATCCCATAAACTCATCATCAATAACATAATTAATTACTAACTGTACCCTTTAGTTTAATTATCAGAGCTTAATTCCAAAATTAATTCCATTAAACTACACACATCGACGCCAATGCAATGGTATTGTTCAACAGGATTACACTATCAGATTGCAGCACACATTAATTGCTCTAATTTCCAATACAATAAGGTCATAAAGATAATAATATATTACGCAGAAGCTAGAACACACTATACTTACGCCCGTATTCACAAACATTACCTACTATGAGCCTTCAAAGTGCGCGTGGACGCACAGGGTGACACAAGAACTAATCACAGAGCTCTTTTCTATATTAGTTCGATTTGGTGCTTCACATAATCAAGCATCGTTTGTGAATACGGGCTATCAAACACCCTACTCAGATTCGATCTGCCTACACGGTCCAGAATCATCAACAGGAATCAAACACGGTTAAACGTATAAAAATCACAACCAATTTCAGAGCTAAATCATTTTCATTATAGTTTCCTAATACCTACCTAATTCCTAGATGATCGAAAACATTCAAAAATATATTTCTTAGAATTCCGTTTACATAATATTTACGTGCTCGCTTTTGAATCACACTTTCTGCATTTAAATTCAAACCTAAACACCTCAGTATTCAGAAAAGTTTAGGTAGGTTCTCACATAATCTCCACAATACCAACTGCCCACATGACACTGCCCACAAAGTAGACACAATAGAAAACAATCGAGAAGAAGACTAAGAGCTGGTGAACGCCAGATCTACGTCATTTTATAAAAGCTGAAAGTTTGTTAGCGTATGCTCCCAATATAGGATAGAGTGCTGGTGAATCATGAAGTTTGGGTCATCGTGGCTTTGGCAGCTATCCTAAAAAAACTGTCTGACAAGGAGTTGGAACTGTCAAAACTATCTGGCTGATGTGGAAACAACTTCTGATCATTGCCCAAATATTATACATAAAAATCAGATTGTATGGTTTAACGTAAGTAGAATTACAGTGTATTGAATATACAGAAAAAGCCACCGTAAAAGTTAGGCTTACGTTATACCATAAAAGCTGATTTTTAAATAAAATATTAGGGCAACAATTAGAAGTAGTTTCCTCATCAGCCAGACAGTTTTGACAGTTCCAACTCCTTGCAGTTTTTTTAGGATAGTTGCCAAAGCCACGATGCCCCAATCTTCACGATTCACCAACATTCTATCCTATATTGGGAGCATATGCTGACAAACTTTCGGCTTTTATAAAATGACGTAGGCCTGGCGTTCACTAGCTCTTAGTCTAGAAGTCAAAATCCCCCAAATTAACACGTTTTGATGACGTCAGCGGCGGTCAAAAGCGACCACCGGCGGTGCGCGAGCTACCCTCGCGGTGGTACACTCTGCTCGCACTCCCGTTCCCGGATCAGCAAGTCGGGAGGCGCGAGTTTGCGCGCACGCACCGCCAGACGCATCGTGCCGGACATTTCTCCAACCCGTTATAGCGTGCGTTTATATTTTGAGGTACAAGCGGGTGGCGTTGTGGCTGTAAAGATTGTAGATTCGATTCCCGAATGAGACGATGGAGCGAAACGAATAGGCTGTTATGGACGTCTACGGTCGTAAGAAGTTAAAGTGCGGAAATTGCCTAGTACCTACATGAATATAATTTGAATTACCATAGATTCCATTTTTCCCAATCAACCTTTGGATCTGGAGCTGATGCATGGAAATCCAGTTTTTGAAGTCTTAAACCCAAAAGCTATCCAAATTCTTAAAACGCATTAATGGTTATCTAAAAGACATTTCAACCTGACAAGATAAGTAGGTACTTTTGTAATAGCACAGAATAATAATGTAAATAGGTAATATAAAGTTACGCAAAGAATCTCATGAAAAAGGACAATGGGCAAAATGGTACCCGGCTCCAATAGATATGTGTCTAGTATCGTTTGAAAGGTCTTACCAAGATGAACAACTTTTACTATGACCACCAGCCTCAGATCTGGTTGTGTACGAAGATATACATACTTTTTTGCAGAATGGTACCCGGCTCCAATAGTTATGTTTGTAGTGTCATTTGAAAGGTCTTACCAAGACGAACAACATTTACTATGGACACCAGCCTCAGATCTGGTTGCGTTCGAAGATAAAGAAGATACTTTTTGTGTAACCTAAGTATCATACAGTATGAAGGGGGACGCGCTCGGGGAGATGGTCGGACGCGGTGAGGAAGACGGTGGGCGGGAGTTTGCACCGTGCGCTCCACACAGCTTATGACCGCAGTCTGTGGAGGAACACTATCTGTGGTCGCGATCCTCATCAGTGAGGGACCGAGGAAGAAGAAGAAGAAGATCATACGTGTCCATCGTATGGCACTTAGGTTATGCGTGGCAGGAAGGGTTTACTGCTCCAGCATCCTTCCTTAACTCTATAATTATTGATGGGGATAATTGTGAAATAAATATTTTTATCTAAAGAAGTACTACCCCCTTATTAATAAAAAGTTACACCTAGGAAGAGCCTTGGATTAAAATGACATTTTCATACCAAATGACAATTTATTAATAAAGGGGTTAAAGTTTTATTACTTCTTAAGGGTCTTATTATGGGTTGCTAAAGCGAATAAACCCACAAGACCCAATAAGTCCACCCACAAGATGGACCGACGACCTCATAAAGGTAGTGGGAAGGCGCTGGATGCAGGCCGCCACCAACCGGCCATTGTGGAAATCATTGGGGGAGGCCTATGTTCAACTGGACGTCCTATGGCTAAAATGATCATGATGATGATGATGAAAGCGAATAAAGGGCTAATAGCTTGGGTAGTTCATCGTAGGTATAATCCTTTCCTTTTCAATGCTTCTTTTAGTTATATTAATAAAATGTAGTCATAATACATACTCGTACACATGGATGATTTTGTTATACTTTCATTATAATACTTAGTGGAATTACTGCTTTCAAAACGTGAATTAGAACTGGCCCCATAGCAGACATTTTCCTACATCTAAAGGCCTTTTAAAATATATATTGGTTATGGCTATTGGAGCGGGTACCACTTTCCATACATTTGTGCCCATCATCCTTTACTACATACCAAGTAGGTACTCTATCTATACAATTAGTCGATTAGGTTTATCGCTTGAAAAAAAATAGGATGGACGAAAAGCTTGGGTCGCCAATGCAACCTTTAAAAATCAGTTTCAGTTAAAAGTAATTTGTTTTTATATTAATATTTCCAGCGATTCGGGTGAGAAAGAGAACTGTCTCTTCTTGCCACGTTATTAAAACTGCAATTTAAATATTATAGTCAATACGGCCACTATGCCATTCCGCATCGCACACGCACAAACAAAACGGCACACGACAATCACCGCCATCTTGTTCACGATGTCACTCACAAAATGGACGCTCAACGTTATGGGTACCTGTTCACTGCTGTTGATCCATCGTATGCGTTAGTTAGGCGACTCTAAATTGAGTAAATAATAACAAATATTGAAGTACTAGTGATTAAGAATTTAGTTTTCTACTCGCATTGACGACAGACTAAAATAAGGAACTATGGCCGAATCAATGTAATCATGCAGCAATTAATACGCGGGATGGGAAAATTAGTTTCGATAATTAGTTATTCTCTCTGAGAGAGGCCTGTCTCACTGGAATGAGTGAGTAGAAACCATTTGACAAAGTACTTCTTTAGTTGACTATCGCCTATGGTGGATAACAGTGCATAGAAGACCCATAACACCACACAGTCTAGGTTTGCGGTGCTCTACACGTTTGTAAATAAGTACCTACTCAACGCACGGCGACAGTTGCACATGCTACCGAAGTACCTACACCCACGATCACCCGATATTATACTTTTTATCTATCTCCACGTATTTCATTTTCAGCTATTTTCAGTATTTCAAAGACAAGAGCATATTTACAGACACTTGAATTTCATCCATTTTCCTCCATGAATGGACAAATCTTGACTCCAAGAGCTGTCAATATGCTCATTATCTTACACCCGCCGCTTGCGATGCAACTCCAAAACTCAGATTCAACAATGCCCTCCAATTCAGCAGGAAACACCACGACGGGAAGCGGTACCGACACCACGTGTCGCCCGACTGCAACACGGTGGCGTCTCTCGACTCCTCGTCCTCAGAGTCGCGGAGCGGCCTGAACCGGTACTACCGGCAGGCCTGGGAGGAGCTGCACGAAGCCGCCGGCGCCAAGCACCCACACAGGAGGCACGACAGGGAAGCCCCCAAGGACGGATCAGAGCTCGTCGTGTCCGACGTCTACCCCGCCCCACCCCGCGACAAGCGGCGCCACCACCACCACCACCACAGGGAGCCCCGCCACCCCGAGTGGCACGCGCCCCACCGCACCACCCACAACCACAAACCCAGGTATTAGGGGCGACACCACGTGAAGGACCCTTATTACCCGAACCCAGTGACAACGAATGTATTAATTGAACGCTAGTATTTATAGTGAAAGAGATATGACTGATGAATTCACCCCCATTGATTTGTAGGTACAATTATTTCGGCATACTTTTTTTCATCTCTTCAAATCGAAATCATTGATCGTGGTGTTAAATTACATTTAGCTTTGTACGTGTTATGCTAAATAGACCAAATAACTACGCAAGCTTCCATTTTAATTTATTTCGTAGTCTAGAGAATGTTTATTCTTAAATCTATAAAATATATTATCTCGAGTAGTTAGAAATAAATACATGACTTGTAACTAGAATAGCCCGTATTGATATTTATATGGGACTTTTTCTTCGGTGTATTTTTCGTAACTGATAAATCTTTGATAGTTTTGTTTCAAAGATTATTAATCTTCAGTAACTCTTGACTTGATTGCTTTAACTATGATATCCTTGATCTTTTCTTAGATATATTTGGGACGTCATTTTCATTCTGATTTTCATATAAATGTAGGTAGTTATTAATTAAGAGGTTACATAATGTGTTGTACATAGTTGCTATGTATTTTTTCGTAAGATTAGATTGAAGATAATCATTGTTCGCGCTCTAACTTTCCTGTCTCATTTTAATTGTTATAATTACGACGTTATTAATTATTGGACTGTGAATTATATCCAAGATTGTTTTAGTTAGTTTTTAAGTTGTAAAAATGTATTTAATGATGAAGTTTTATTAAATGTGTTACAGCCTTCTGAGAGATGGCGGGTGATTGGTGTTATTGTTTCCAGAAATATATTGTTTTAACTAAAATTAATTCATTCAAGTCAAGTAGGTAGGTACTTAAAAAGAGCTATCAATTTAAATTAAGAATCGAAGAAATTAGTGGATATTAAAACCATAGAAATGTTGAAGTTTTTTGCTAAAGACGAAGCAAAGTCGTTTGATTATTGGTCCTTAACCCATTATAGACTGAGTTTTCTTAAAGTGTCAGATTTTTGTTTTTTTGAAATATGTTCATAATTATGGTCTACATAATGCTATACAAGCATTAAAAAAATTATTCGACCTGTAATCTGGAAAAAAAATGCTGGTACCATATGGTACCGCTAGCCTCTTACCGTGTCAGTTGGTTAAAACATAACTTTATCATGGACTTTATAAAAATTGGGTAAATTATATATTTTATTATTATTTTAATATGTATTAATATACAAACAAATAACAGGAGTGATATTAAATGTAAAAAAGCTGTATATTGGGTAAGCAATATTCATTTTTATCTTTGAATATTCAAAAATTTGGAATGGAGCTTGGCATTGCACGCTGCACATAGCCCCACGTTACATTTTCTATACTCTGATATTGTTCGAGAGTCGCAATTATCTTAAGTTTGTCCTATAAATTTCTGCTTCGTCTTGGGACCTTCATCGTCCTCCAAAACTGCCAATGTTTGTGAAAGTTACATCTAAAATAAATAAAAAACCATGGTTTTGTAAAGTATAGGAAACTATTTTACTTAATCTTCCTATATACCATATATACCATTGAATATATCACATACTTCCCAATAAATACAGTAAAAACTAAAAATCATAAAATAATTAAAAAGACACGGTAAGCGGCTAGCGGTACCGTACGGTACCAGTAATTTTGACATACAATATTTCCCATTATTATTACAAATCGACGTAATTTTACACCATTTCACAATAAAAGCACTTATGGAGAATACAAGATTGTAACTAAATCAGTATTTCACTATCACACAAAAAAAATATGATCACTTGCTTTTATGACGCGTCAATTTTTAAGAGAAAATTTTGATGCGCTCACTTCAATCATCACTTACATACAACTGAAAAGAATAACTGTCAATTTTTATTCCTATTAGCATAGACCATATCTATTGGCTATGATTTGCATCAATCAGAGCACTGCATCTTTTCACGTGTTAATGTATAGAGCCAAATTAAAACACACAAAAAAGTGGTACCATATGGGACCGCTAGTCTATAATGGGTATTCAAAAATATATTTTATCTATCAGCGGGAACTATTTTCATCTTACCTTAGTGGACGAACCTACCTATCTTCTGTAAGAAAAATCTATTAAGGTACATAAATCAAACATACACAGTACATTCTTCCCATCAGTCCCAGAAAAAGTAGAGTACGTATGTATATTAATATAGGTTCCAAATAAAGACTAAGACTGGATGTTTAACAGTTTTGAACATCAAACAATTAAACGTTTCATAGTGAATATACTATTAACTAGCCTAACACCAATAGGGACTAAAGCCCGGTCTGTATGCACGTAGAGTTTTGTCCAATGACCCCAAGCTACCCATCCTTATCGCTCGCGCGTAATTATGTTGCTGTCGCGCTCGCACACTTACTGCGGGCGCCCGTTGCACAGTCGCGACAGCAATATAATTACGCGCGAGCGATAAGGATGGGTAGCTTGGGTCATTGGACAAAGTTCTACTTGCTCACAGACCGGGCTATAGTTATTATAATATTGTCTGTCAATCACCCGCCATGCCTCCCCGGAACTCTACTTACACCCTAGATTTGCTCACCCTACGTATGGTACAAAGTATTTTTTAAACCGGTACTTTAAAGTACAAGTCGAGTACCGGTCCGTACTTTCGTTTGATGGAAACGGTAACAAAACGTATGAATATGTGCCATTAAACAGGCAAACTTGAAGTGTCGATCCAGAGATATGTTATTTATTACGATTTAGCTCTTATTTGTAAATACGTAAGTGTATGTAGATGATTAGTTATTTTGTGGTCGTGAGAAATTTATAATTTATAATGGAAACTCAAATAGAAATAAAAGTATTAAAAAAGTTAAAAAACTGATCCCTGAAGAAGGCCGGATATCAGTAATTTTAGTGGTTATCTGACCATAAAAGTTGAGTTTCAATTGAACACCTAAAATTAATAATAATCAAAATATGTAGAGATCATTTTCCACAAAAAAGATTATGGGTCACGTAATAACTACAAAACCTGAAGATTTTGAAGATTTATTGAAACTACTTAGTAAGAATACTTCTATTGAATATTTATTTAAATAACTATATAACTATAATAGAAACTTGAACAGTGACCCAAATCTGAAAGTTTTGACAAAAGAGAGCATGAATGTTTGCAGTTATTTGTGAATAAGTGCATAAGTGAACATTGTGGAACGTGTGCATCGACTGGACTGTCCAAATTATTGTATCGAAACTAATAGAAATAAAGTATTTTTGTGATAAAAACTGACTCTTCTTATTAATAACTAGCGACCCGCCCCTCCTTCGCACAGGTATGTATTATTATTATACCTACTTAAAAATCTCCCTCTTGAATCACTATTTATTAAATAACATTAGTTAATTGTTTAAAAAACTAAAAACACCCTTCTATTACTGCACTAAAAGAATCCAATGAACCTAGGACGCTGGAAATCATCTAGCGCTAAAGTGCACGAAAAGATAAATCCAATGAAGGTGGCCCCCTGTCAAAGTCACTGATAGGACAAGTTGTAGGTACTTAGTTGGTCAATAAAACATAATGTCCCCAGCTCACCGGATGTTTTTCATTTGAGTACCTAACCCACCTACACACCTCCTTTGACCAATGTTAGATAGTAACGGAAGTACGAGTAGCTTGACTCTCTCGACTCGGAGTCGGCGGTTCAGCGTTCGATTCCCAGGTGGGTACGACACCTAATGTAAATTCAACACTTTAATAGTGTTATATCTCGCCAAGGAAGGCTATGTCATAATCTCTAATCAGTACAAAACAAAATTAAAATAAAACTGGTTGATAAGATAATATTTTCCATCTTTACTGTGTTTTAGTAGCTAAAGGGCTGTAAGTTCTCTCGCTGAAGAGGTACCTACTTGTATCCTGGATTTGATTCCCGAATGAAGTCGACCGGGGCGAAATCAAAGTTTCATGCATAGCCTGATGACTGATGGTCATGCATGTTCCACTTTTCGCCCATGCATGATCAACACAAACACATAATGGCGGATGATTTCAGGAGCTGTGTAAAATATAGATCACTTTATATATAGCCGAGCGACATCTGTTGTGATATTTAAAAATAATAATAAAAGATATTTCTTGGTTTATCTTCAAGAGGGCGTTAAATTCACGTATGGCTTCTGCAAACATTTTCAAAATTAGTGTGCTTTTAAATTGTTACACTAGAAGTTAGTATTTAGAATCCAAATAAGAGGGCGCTAGTTATATGGATGTCTGTGTCTGTTGTGTGATTTTAAATTACAAAATATTAAAAGTTATTTCTTCGCTTACATACATGAGGGCGTTGGCTCTAAGTACATTTTTATACAACCACATGGAAAATGTGTGTGCTTTTAGGTTTTTCTCTAGAAGCTAGTTCGTCAATTCTGAGAAAGAGGGCGCTGTTTTATATGCTGTGTTGCTGCCAAAAAGCAGTCACACGTACCAAGTAATCGGGCGAGACAGTGCTCTCGGCCGAGAACTCGGTGCGTCTCGCCCGTTTACTCGGTACGTGTGATCAAGGCCTAAGAACCCTCCTACTCGTTCCACTCCTCCCACCCAGGCGGGATGGCCAGAGGTGGAATAGGGGGACACATCACATCACATTTAATTTCACATTCACTGTCGACTTCGAAAGAAAACAATACAATGTGCATGTGGATTGATTGAGTGATCCTTGCTTATCAGATCATTTCTGACGCTGACTGTACCAATATTGGTATGAAGGTAGGGGTACTACCAGTGGGGATATGTCGGTAGGGATATGTGGAATAGTTATTTTAGTCAGTTTTATTCTTACATCATAGCTAAACCAGGATGTATAATAGAAACTACAAATTTTAGACGACACATTGATTTAATCTCATGCTTGTTCTTATTTCTAAAGACTGACGATTAGTTACTACGTGAATACAAAAAATACCTTAGGGCCGATATGCCTAAAATAAAGTGTTCTTGCGACTTGGCCATATTACATAAAATAGAAAACGATTGGTCGACAAAATTAAACTTCATGGCAAAAAGTAATCAGTTTTACTGTATAACACAGTAAGAGTAAGCGCACACCGTTGATTTTTCAGTATGGGCATGTATGGGAGTGCGCACACTACGCCGATTCGATTTGGCCGATTCTTCATCAAATTAAAATCGGGCACAACTATCGGCCAACTAAAAATCAACGATGTGCGCCTACTCCAATACACATTGTTGGTGTAGCATTACGAATTCTTAATTAGGTAATACAATACTAAGTAACTAAAGTAAGTGACGTCAGAACACTTGTAATACCACAGCTTAAGCCATAATATTCCATGCATTAAGACGTGTTACGACACAACAATAAAATAACATGAATATTACGCAAATCATACTTGGGAGGTCTATGGAGGGAATATATTTATAAATTAAATTAATACCTTTGACTATATCTTGATGGTATTCTTTATGAGAATCATAATGAATGAGCTAGTTACCACGTGATCTCTCTGTTTACTTATTATTATTCTGTGGTTTTACTTCCATTGGGTTCCCAAAATCTTATGTCGCTTAAGGCTGATTTACACGCATTAAGTAGTTAAGTAGGTAACTAAATTTTAACTTAATTTTAAGTGATTAAATTTAATGTAAACAGAAATTGCTACTTAAAATTTAGTTACTAAATTTTAACTTGCAACTTGCTACTAAATTCTGTGTTTACATGCAATTAGTCACTTAAAATTATGTAAAAATTTTTGTTAACTACTTAATACGTGTAAATCAGTCTTTATGAGTAAAGTAGGTATGCTTCTTCACCAGGTATCTCAAATTATTCCATGTTAAACATGGACCCATATTTATAGAAAGATTGATTATTTTATGCTGATTATTACTACAATACAAATATTTAGATGATAAATATAATACAAATATTTAGGTGCAAAACAAT